GAGAGAGAGAGAGAGAGGAGCAGATACTAAGTTGTCCTGGTGCACGAGGAGCCGCATCTTTGCATGTTGTGTGTGTTTCTAGTGTCAGACACGCAGACAGAGGAGAGTCATCCTCTGCTCATTTCTGTTGGTATCTGGCTGTAATATCACTCAGACCAATAAAAGTGTCCCGGAGAAGCCTTGAAGAGGACAGCGCAGAGGTAAGATAACACAGGGCCTGCTGTCATTGGCAGGACCTCCATCTGAGGAGATTATTGCTGTTGGAGAGAGTTTATTACAGTTTAATACCACCAGCTCCAGTGCGGGGGGGGGGGCCTAGTCATCCTTTTAGTAAGTGGGGAAACCAATCTATGTAAGTAGTTTTAAAGCAAATATATCCTTGTTTTTAATTTAAAAAATGTTTATTAGCTAAAAATATTTTTGTCTTATTGACTTTTTTTGTCTTTTTTTGTCTTAATCAGTGTTTTGTGATTACAGATGCACGCACGTTTAGCTGCTTTCTAATGATGCGCAGCAATACTGTTGACTCATTCTCAGCCATACTTTTAGAGATAAGACATTGTTGAATTTATTAACACAGAATCGTTTCAAAGACCTTATCAGATCCTTTTATACTAAGCTTTCAACAACTGCATGTAACAAAAGTCATGCTGAAGAACTAACTAACTAACAAATAACTGAAACTCAAGTTTGTCCAGATTGTGCACAATTTGCCCCTCAGCTAATCAACAGCAGACATCTGAATGTTCTGTACATCGCTGATTAAAAGGAGATCTGGAGGTGATCAAAGATTTGACTGGATATTTGTCAGACTCTGGGATTAACATTATCATTTTTTGAGCTTGCAACCAGATCCAATAGGGACCGGCTGTAGGAACCCACCTGGGGCTGCAACGATTATTTTTATTGTCCATTCATTTCTCAAATAATCTGTTTGTGGTTTGGTTTACAAAATGTCAGACAAGCTCATAGTGATGTCTCGAATATTCCCCAAAAATATTCATTGATATATTAATGTCATAGAGGAATAAATAAACCAGAATACATTCACATCTGAGAAGTTAAAATGAGAGAATTTTGACTTTTTTTCTTAAAAGATGACTCAAAACAGTTAATCAAATATCGAAGTAGTTGCCGATTAATTTATTGGTTGACGACTAATCGATTAATCGGTGGATCGTTGCAGCTCTAAACCCAACATTTGCATTATATTAGCATTACTCAATTAGCTGCAACTAATGATTTTCATTACTGATTCATCTGCCCATTATTTTGTGGATTCATTGTTCATAAAATGCCAGAAATTAGTTAAAAAAAAACATTAAATATTATTAATATTATATTAATAACATTAGTCTAAAGTGTTCAAACATCAGCTTGTAAACTGTCCAAAACGCAAATATATCAGTAAACACTGATACAAAAGAACAATGCTCAACAGGAGAAGACGGAGGAGTTTGGTATTTTTGCTTTAACGAATAATCAATTATCAAAATAGTGATGATTTATTTTCTGTCACTCGACTGATGGATTAATCAGCTATTTGTTGCACGTCTAGTTATTCCTTTATTTTCTTTGGATTTCCTCTAAGGCCCTCTTGAGGCCTTTCCCCCCTCTGGGAACCATTAAGCTTTATGTGGGGGTCCAAGCTTTGAGTATCCCATCTGCTAGTAGTGGGCGATATGGACGAACTCTTCTGTTGTGGTGTAGTAACTTACACTAGATGTGCTATTGCTATATATTGTGACATAATGACGTTTCCAGACACTCTATCGAGGACCTGTTTATGTATAAATAAGCAGATAGGAATGTTTGCTTTGGGCTGATCTAGTTGGTTGAATACCTGACAAAGTTGCATCATCTCAAAATCTGCAAATATTCAAATAAAAATCAAACATTTCCATAGATTAATACTTCTCATTGATACATCGTGGTTAACCTTGCCCACAATGAACACGCCCAGAGCTCTAACATGGATTGTGTGTGAGTGTGTGAGAATATCTGACGGCATATTATTGCATTGTCGCATCAACCTACCATCTGCTTATGTACATTTACAAGGAATAATAATCATCAGCAGCTTCTAAACTTTCTCTCAGCTGAGTTGCTTTGAGCGCACTGTATGTAGGTTTATTGCCCACTTGTGTAGGCAAGTGGACCGTTCGAACACTCACACAGTCCCACTCAATCTGACACGAAGCAGCCCTGAAACACAGTCTGAGGCAGTTTACGTGTGCTGCTATACCAGAATCATCCCAACGACAAAGCGTTTGTTTCTGCTTTTTATCCCTTTTTATTGCGGCTGCCTGTTTTGGAGGCTCACGCTCATCGAGGCGCATGAGCACGACACGAACTCATGGTCAGGGTCATGGTTTGCTTCACTGTGCTGCTTCGTGGCTGTTGTTAATTGATAGTAATGTGCTATCTTAACGGGTCTGGAATGTCAACACAGACAGTCTCGCGTGTTTTCTGTAGACATGTGTATCTTTTTGGACGACGTTATCTGTCAGGGAGGTGAGACCAGTGAGTTTCTGGCTGGGATTGAGGAGACAAAACATAAAACATGTGCTGTATTATGGCTTTTCTAATTTTCTTGGGGAAACTGGACCTTTTGACGAGCACAATTCACTACGAATTCAGACAATCCAGAGCTGTCCTTTAGTACAAAGAGAGAAAGGGGGGGGGAAAAAAGGATTTGGGAAGCAGCTAACCATGTGAAACATGCAGTGTGAAAATGTTTCCTAGTGCCCAGCGCCGCTTCATTACAGCAACTGAGCCGTCTCACAGAAAGTAAATCCACTACTTCTGCATGAAAGATTCAGAACAGACAGCTAAACCAAAATAGCCTGTAAACACCTCTCTTTCCTTCCAAGCTCCTCTTTCAGTCCCCATCCTGCACTGTCTCCTTTCCTCCCCCTTTCTCTCTCTCTCTCTCTAACCCGCTTTATCCGCTCCGGGGCCTGAATTGTGTCGTTTTCACTGCAACTCAGTGGCTGTTAGCGTCCAATAAACCGAGAGAAGTGATTATACAGTGTGAAAAAACGCTGCCCTGGTGGTTAGTGAGCTACTCGAGTCACAAGCCATTCAGATTGTTTCCTGCCTCTCTCGAACTGCGTCACTCAACCAACAAGGAAATCCCATGTTTACCCTCGTTGTTCATGACCTGATGTCTTATCCTGAACCTATCTGGAATCCAAACACATCCCGAGGCACTTTTTGGCAGCTCAGCACATGTCCAGAATACCAGTGTGCTTGAATGCGCCCCAGAACTGGACTGAAAAGGATTTGTTCTCTATACGTTGGGGCTTCAGTTTAACTTTGTGGACAGTAAATATTTGACTGACTGCTCTCTTATAAGGTGATTACTTGGCATGAAATGAACAATAATTATTGCCTGTAGTCTAGTCTCATTGCTCACAGTCCTGCACACCGGCACTGTTTTGCTTGTGCTTATCTCACCGTGTTATACAAAGCAGATTGTAAGTCAAGCAGCTCTGGATAATCAGTCATCTGTCTGAATTAAATACAACGTGGCTTTGTGGGTATCATTGCTGACCACATAAAGCGCTAAAATGATGAATGTGTTCATCTTATTCACCCTGCAATTAACGGATTCTAGAGTACTTTCCCTTCCTGCAGCTCACCTCCTGACTGTCTTGATTCCGATGCTAAAATGACTGGTTTTGGTTCCTAAAGGCCTGTTTCTTACAAGGGTACTAGATCCTGGCACCGTTGCGCAGCTAAAATAGAAAGGCCAGTTCACAATTTTTTCTTGAAGTCAAACTTAACAAGTTTATTTCAAATCAAATGATCCAGAGGACACAGTCAGATGTTTTTAATTCTGTCTCGTAATGACAAGCCTGTTTCAAGACAACCACCTTATTTTCAAACTAATAATATGTAGTGATATTTATCATTGCAAAAAATATACTGTGACCAGATAATGACTTACAGTTTCTTGGAACAACCTTGATTATTCTGACCAAAAACGTGCTATAGTGAACACGCTGTCTGTCTATTGCAGCAAAAAAAGAAGGGATCAGCAACTCTTGGTGTCTACACATCTTTATCTGCGTCACTTCAAACTGAGGAGATTCCACAGCTGAGCTGTTGCCTTTTCTCTCTATCTTTTCCTACTCTCTAGCTTTCCTTCTCCTTCTGTGTTTAATTCTGCTGCCACTTTTTATCTGTGTTTGCCTCTCTCTCTCCCTCTCTCTCTCTCTCTCTCTCTCTCTGCCTCCTGCCCTTTCTCGTTCTCCCTCTCTGTTTGTTCCTCTGTATCTCCATCTTTCTGCCCTTTTCCATGTGCCTCCCTCATTTTCTCCGTGAAAGAATGTTACCTTAAAGTTATTTTATTTTTAGGCTGAAGCCAATTTCAAACAGTGTGGAGCTAGTGGTCAGGCAGACTTAGTTCGGAGAGGTGGAAAACAATTGGCACGGAAAAAAAAGATTGTACTC